TAAAAAGTCATCATCGCCAAAATATTTTCCGTCCGCTACAGTGGACACCATGCACGAAAGGGTTAATGAAGTGCAGAGAGACATGAATGGAGAACACATGGAGTGAACTAGGAACATGATCCTCAACCTGTATGACCTAGAATTTCAAGTCCCCACCAGCACTCTACATTTCCTCGTGCATTAAATTTGTTAACACTTGAATTCAGAAAGCTAGATGATGACATCCACTTTGAAATGCCAATTATACCACCGAAAAGAAATGAGTGGTGATAAGACAATCACTGCATTTCATTTGAAGACTCATGCAACTTGGAATGACTTTCCAACAACACCAGTGCAATATTGCAGTGAAAGTGATCACCATGACAGGGCAGGAAGAGGATGTGAGATTTGGTGTTGGAGCGGGTGAATGACTTGATCGGTAGTGAAATCAGTTTCTGTGGTAGGGGCCCATGTACAAAATCAATCGAGTCAGTCATTTATTTCCAAGTGCAAGTCTCAGTCTGTTCAGAGTTAAAAATCCCTCCAGCACTTGGTAGTCTATCATAGTGCATCATGTTGATCATAAAGCATGGGCAGATTCCAATACCTCTTATTTACTGTATCTGTTAGTGTCTTGAAAACAAAGAGCCAAGCCAATGGGATAGGCATGCATACATCCACCAATGATACATGCAGTTAAGCTGTAGTTTACCTTGGTCTTTGCCGAGTTTGAGAGCCGAATCACCTGATCGACTTCTTCCATCTGAAAGAGACAGAGACAGTCATGATCGACAGAAAAAAGATTTAATGCTGTGAAGTAAATATGATATACAGAAGAGAGAAAAAGAAGTACAAAAATGGCTGTGAAGTCACATTGACTTTCAGCTGCCTTTTTCATCTCCTGACACAACAAGGCAAATAGAAATATGCAATTAAACAAATACAGTGTGATGGGGCTTTATTCACTTATTGCCAATCCCAAAGAAACCATTCCACATTGTTTCTTATGAATTGAGTGCAGTTGCTCACTGAGGCTACTTTTTGGATGTCATTATCAGCTGGAACTTCACTGCACCATGGCCTGCAAATTCACTGGACCTCAATCTGGACATTTTATTTCCCAGGAGGGTTTCTTCAGAAAGTGAGCCTTCTGGCATAATCCAGCATCATTTCATGAAACCGAATTCTTTAGAAAAAGTGGCAGTAGACAGTTTTGACAAAAGGTTTTTTTCTTCTTGATGTTGGACACATCAATTTTCCCAAAGTCAACCACAGTAGAACCAAAATTAAACCTATTCATCCTCATATTCACTACATTACATGTTTTTATTCTGACAAAATCTGAAGATGACATTTGAAACTGGAAACGATACCGATTTCACGGCCACACTGTACACATACCCGTTTCTCGTCTCTGATGGCTCGAACAGCAGCTTCCAAGGTGACATCTCGAAGACTCTCGGCATTTCCATCGGTGCAGTGTTTCTGAATCCCTAGTATGAATTCCTGGAGCTCTGGGACTCGTTTCATTCTCACTAAGCCGGTGGTAGCCTTCACCATAACATCTCTCCAAGAAAGAGTCCTCTCCTGCATCAATCTGCCAAGGGTATTGAGTAACATTAACTTTGGGCTTATGAAGGTGATGAGATAAACATATAAAATTTCCCCTAAGCAATGTCAGTAGAATTCAATGGTTCATTATCATGGTCAAAATTCAAGTATCATTAATTGTTTACTGCCAGTCATTATTTTGGATGGCTGAAGCCTAACACTGGTACCTCAATTTGGACCACTGGAATCTTGTCCAGAAACTGTGCAAGTTGCCTTCCATCTCATGAAAGAGATGCAATGTGGCCCAAGTGGCTGTTCTAGGGACCCACTGAACAGCCTTCCTTATTAAGGATCTCTGTCCTGTGACATGTAGAGATAGGGTGTGCTACTTCACAGGGGCCCCTGTCTCAATAGTGACATGGAATCTGCAACACACCATGGGCTGGGCTGGTTTTAAGCCTGGATCTCTGTCTCAGACTCCATGCTTGCTACCAAATGAGCCACCTTGATATTGCAGCTATTTTGTTGAATAATTTCATCATGTGTACAAGTGCATTGGAAATCCACACATTTACATATCATGTTTAACCCTTCATGTGTTGGAAACAGCCATGCCTCTTTCAAAGCATACCTTTCAAAAAATTCAGATCCTGAGGGCAAGTTCTTGCTATGCTAGTCCCTTAGCTCATTCCTTCAGTTAAGGGAGATTTTGGACATGAATCAATGCTAATTATGGCAGTGACTGACTCAAATCAGTACTGCATTAAGTGTGGCTAAGGGGTGGTGACTCTAATTTTACTATGTCCAGCTTTCCCCAATGCTTGGCATGTACGTTCAAGAAGCACAGATAAACAGATATAGCAATAGTGTCCATTGGGAGAGAGCTATTCTTCACACCAATGATATTCAAGTTTGATTTTCCCAAGTTAATAAAGAATCTACACCATGCTAACAGTGCACTTTCGAATGAAGCTGACCAAATGAGGACTCTTTGGGCCAAGGACATGAGAAATGTTCAAATGAAACAGTTCTCATGAAATAAGCATTGCACAATTGAGAAGACAAACTACCTGAGGCACAGAGGAAAGCCCTTGAGAATGGAAGGTGGAGCAAGGAGAGTTATGGCTGCCACAACTACACTTTGCTCAGGCATCCCAAATAGCGTTGGGGGTTGCTTGTTCTCTGGTGCTACACAATTCATGGCAGCATCAAGGTGCAGAGTTTCATGATTGCTAAGAAACTGCATGAGATTGGCTTGGAGCTGAATGAGGCTCAGCTGGTGATTGATGTCTTCCAGTGAGAGGTGAAGGATGAGGGGGGCCTCTTCCTGCTTCTCTCTTGCTCCTCCCTTCCATGGTGTCCACTTGAACAGATATCGCTCCAGGTGCTCCTTGGCGTGCTCCAGGTGGTGCGACCGTTGGACCAGCTCCGAGAACGAATTGGCACGAGCCACATAGAATTGAAGGCAGGTCATTGACGCTCGGACATGATCCTGGAGGAAGATTTGGAGCTCATAGAGGACGTGGAAAAGACGACGCAGCTCCAACTGACGACATGCCCCCTCTAAGCATTTCTGATTCATAAAGAAAAAAAGCAAAATGATTCAAGGAATCACAGAATAAGAGATAATTTAAGGAGGGAAACACACCTTCCATGAGATAAGTGAAGAATCAAAAGATCGTAGCTCATGCAGAAGAGGGCTAAGTTTTCCCTGTTTGATGCATGGTAGGAAAAGACTAGCAAAAAACACATCAGAATTTATCTGCATGTTCGCACAGAATTCCACAGCTTCCTTTAACATGCCATGCTGCTGGTAGAACGTGACGATCATGTCTGCTGGAGCATATGTTGTCAGGTACCACATAGCTTCAGTGAAGAACAGTGGCTCCATCCCCCCACGAGCTTCCTTCATCTTTCCATTCATGATGTCTTGTAGTGAGGCAAGGGAATGCTGGACATGAAGAGCCATAAGAGGCATCTTGGAGCCAAGAGCAGCCCGGCTCCTCCGTGCTCCCTCCATCACATTCTCATCCACCAGAAATGGTCTTGACTGCAGGTAGCCAAGGATCTGTTCCAGCAACTTTCGATTGCCTTGCAGTCTTGGTGGATCCTTTGTCAGACAAGATGAGAACTTCTCACGAGCAGTTTCAAAGTCCCCGGCATTTAGGCACGAAAGTCCCCATGCAGCAAAAACACTAGTTCGATCGAGCTGAGCTCGAGTGGAGACATCAAGAGCAACGCCATATCTTTCCTCACGGACGAGGGAATCTCGAAGACGGCGCACAGAATTTGCCATATCTCCCTGCCAATCTGATGGGAGAAGATGAGCGCAGCCAGAATCAACAATGAGATGAGCCAGGTCCACAAGATCAAGCAAACGATCACAATCTGAGGCTCGTCGCCCTTCCAGCTTCAATTTGGCAGCAAGGAGAAGATCTGAGATTATCTTCAACAAAACCTCCAAATCGATCTCTGGATTGACGTGTCCGGGAGCAAGGGGACGCAGAAATGCAAAATAATGCATGGCTTTAGAAATGAGAAAGTCAGCAGCAGATTGTGAATCATGACAGAGCTCCAGGAGTGATAAGCAGAGCGGGACATTAGGGTAATACTCAAATGAGAATTCTTCTCGAGCAACCTCATTGTACTCTGGGTCTTGAGACAGCTTCCACCGGTGAGGCCTGGAACACATCAAATGCAAACACCCAATCAGTTCCAAAACTTCTAGAAGCTTTTCTTGAAAGCAAGAGCAATAACAAACTTTGGAAGATGTAATTCAACTGAATCTGGTGGCTGATCTCCAGGAACCTGCTCAGCTGTACTGAATTTGAAGCAGGGGTCACAGACACGAACTTCAACATTCCCATATCCCTCCACCTTGACAAAAGATCAAGAAGTTTTTGAAAAGTGATGGAGAAAGAGAGGCCCTTCATTGAAGAATGATTATTATTGATGGACCTACCAAGATTCGATGCTGGGAGCAGCTGAAGCAGACGACACGGCCGCACCGTCGACAGTGGTGGCGTCTATGAAACATGGAGAAAGGCTCGGTCCCACATTCCATGCACCTGTCAGCTTTCTTATCAGGGATCCATTTGCTCTTCTGGGGAGGAATCGTAGGGGGAACAAATGATGAATGGGAATAGGAACAGGAGCCAGATCCCACAGAACCATTCAGAGATGCTTCCAAATCTGATGGACTTCCTGTGCTCCCACCTGAAGAGGAAAAACAGTAGCAGGAATACTGAGTAAAATGCACAAAACATACAAAAGGTTTCATTAACCTAATTCATTTTCCCAAAGAGTTCCTTTGAGAATAGCATGAACTCAGCTTAATAAATTCTCAAAGGAGCTCAATACATATTTTATTCAATTCAAGTTGAATGGTTCTTGCACAAGTTGCTGAATGAATTTTTGGCACAGCTTTGAAGCAAACTCTGAATTAGTGAAAGAGCATAACTCATGGATTGCAGAAAATACCCTTTCCATCAGTTTATTACACACAATGCCAGAATGTGGTCTCTTACAACATTAGATCAGCTTATTTACTGTATTTCTTAGCTTCACAAAGAGGGACTATTCTGTCTATTTCAATATCTATGCCACATATAGAACATTCCATGTATCTTCATTACAATGTCTACAGGTGGTCAAAAGCATTCATTTTGGATGTGAAAATATTTTGGAGACTGTACTATATTCCATACTTTAACATTTGCCTAACTTGATTAATGAGTGGGAACAAGCAGTCACCTGAAAATGAGGGATGAAACCACAGAGATTTGTCAGCATATGAGAGCACAAGCAGGTTTACAGATGACTTCCAGTCTGTGGAGAGTCTTTTGTTGTCGACATTGAGCTTCATCAGTGCTGTTTTGGCTGCCTTCACCTCCATGTTCATTATCAACTGTTCGATCATCAACAGTGGGTGCTGGACAATATCCAGGAGCTCAGGGCGATATGATCCATCCAGAGCCATCAGGATACCGAGTCCAGTCAGGAGACGGGTGTACTGTTCCTTCTTGACCGGTGACAAGACTTCAGCATATTCATCCAGTAACAGAGAGACCAGGAAACTGCAGGTCTCTCCATGCTCAACTTCAGGCAGGAGATTTTCCAGTATCGAAGCAGCCACAGTAGATGACAAGGGGACCAAAACCTGCCCAGACAAACCAAACTTCCATAATAAGAACTCCCCAAGAAGCTATTGCTCAAAAATATCAAATTTATGAGTCCAGCTATAAATGTTTGGCTCTCCTTACTAATAAAAGTCTAAAGAAACAAAGTCCATTCTTGGCCAGTAAATAGGGATTCTGAATACACTTCTGTGAATGTTCCTTTGAGTTCTGGCTTGATAGTAGTAGGTCTGCTACTTAACAGCAGACATGGATATAATAGAAAATTATCCAACAGAATTTTGCACCTTGATACCCAAAACAAGAGATGACATAATTTCAGTTCACATCACAATGAGAAATCTGAGTGGGGACTGTCAGATGAAGAATTTACAAGTCTAGAATCCTCAACATGATCTGGATGAAGGAGTTTTTCAAAAATTCAATAATTCATTGCAGTGATGAGCATCTCAGGCTTTAGCAGGCAAGTGATGAAAATGAGCAAAGCAATTTCTAAATATCTTCCCATAGTAGACATGGGTTTTCCCATGGAATTACACACTAGATGTGACCTATGCTAGTTACTGACCAGGATGGACCTGATGAATAGTAGATCCCCTAAACCACTCCACTGGTCTTGTCCCCATGTCATTCCAGTGCAAAACCTCCCCTTACGACTTACTTGTCCAAGCATGAAGCTTTAAGGGGCAAATTCAAATGAAAGAATTGCAGGATAGAGTCACTGTTTACTCACAGCTTTGATCTGATGGGGATCAGGTTTAGGGGAAGTGATGATCGAACGGAGCAAGCTCTCCTCCAGGTGGCGATGGAGGTTTTCTGGCAGAGAATGTCTCTCAGCCCACTTGGATGCCACAGAGTACTAAAGCAAATGTTCCATAACATGAGATGGAGAGAACTTGAAGTTAACATTTCAGAGAAAATGGAAGAATCACCTTTCGCAGAGAATATAAAGTCCCAAAGATGGAAGAAGAGTCAGTCTGGGACCTTTTGGCAATGTCTTGCCAGGAGGCATCCTGCCAATCTGGGTATGCTCCTTCTTTTAAGGCCTCCAACACCTAGCACATCAATATAATCCACATGAGGAAATGGAAGTCAATCCTACAGAAGCTCTGCTCATGCACCAATATAAAGCATGATTCAAAAGCAGCTTTATTACTTCTGTGGCTTACAACTTCATGTGCAATGAAAGTGGCGTCGAAACAAAGGTATAGACGTCAAGCTTTATTATTACCTGCAATTACCACAACTCAATGTGACTACCAGAATTGACATGGCAGATATCTGGTGATACCCAATCTCATCCCATACCCATTGCAGTCCATCTTGCAGTCTCTTGCAGTCGCTGCAATGATCCTTTCCTTCAATTCTAGCATGTTTAATGGCAGTAGTGGCTGGCAGACCTCTACCTTGAAAAAACCCAGCAAGCAAAAAACCAGTAAAAAAAAAATCTTTAAAAAAAAGTCTCCAAACATCATCAGAAAAAGTCTAGTGGCATGATATCTGCAGACTTTTTCTTAAAGATTTTATTCACTGGACTTCTTTTGTGGGGTCATATCAAGGATGAGGTCTGTCAGCCACCACTGGCATCAAATGTGCTAGAACTGAAGGAAAAGAAAAGGAAAGTCACTGTGGCCATGGCCAGAGTTACACAGGACATACTGCAACAGGTACGGGATGAGATTGGTTATTGCAGGGATACCTGCCACATCAATTCTGGTAGTCACATTGAGTTGCGGTAAATGCAGGTATTAAAACCTGAAGTCTATACCTCTGTTTCAAAACCAATTTTGTTGCACTGTGACAAAGGCACATGAAGTTATAAGCCATGAAAGTTGTAAAGCTACTTTTGAATCACACTGTAGATGTGCTTCTGGTAACAGAACAGTGAAACTGAATATCTAGAAAAGCGAAGTCCAGCCAACTCAAGCACTCATAAAAAATTAGTATAAAGAACATTCATCAAACATAAGTATAAGAAGAAAACAAAATATCAGAAGATAAAAAAGTGGAAAATTAAATCCAACATAAGAATTTCAATAGCAAGAGTTTGTCTGACCTGCTGATAGAGCTGCACTTCATCCCTAATGCTTTGAAGCTCCTCCTTGAATTGAGCAGTGGAAAGAGGAATGCAGGCCACAACAGCATGCCTTGCGTCATTGTATGGCCAATCCCTTGCGCATTTCAGCAATGTAGCACATCGAAGCTCTGGATCCCTGATCTGCAGGACAGCCTGCCATGGCTTCAATCCTGCACATACATATATTTCTTTGTTTCAAAATATCTTTAGAGTTCTGAAAATTTTCAAGATGAGATTATGAGATGATAGGATACCTTGAGGAATGAGGTTCAGTTCCAGGCAGTGGCACCAAAGGGCATCCCTGATCTGCAGCAAGCCTTCACTTAAGCAGACTGGTGGGATGGAGTCAAGCAATTCTAAGCAGACATCAGGAGATTTTGCATGTTCTTTAATGAAAAGAATGATCATCTGAGATGCTGGTGGAGGACTAAGGGCTGCCAGGTGTCTGCTCCCAGAAAAGAAGATCTTGAGGACATTGGAACGTGGGGAGAGGAAGAGGCGATCCAAACAGGGAGAGCCGTAGCTGGAGGGAATCCCATCTGCAGAAGATCGATCAGAGTGCAACTTCTCCAACAGGAAGGACACCAGCCACGACTCAGATCTCAGATAATCCAGGAGTTCATCAGGAAGCTTGTGCAATTGAGACCATTCTCCTTCCTCCTTCTTGTCCTCCAGTGAAGATTCTGAACCTATTAAAGAAGAGTCTGTTTTAATATAACACCGAAGAGACAGGTGTCAGAAAGCACATCCAAGTCAATTGATGTCTCACTGTCTTCTTGATTCAAGGTAAAATCCAGAAGTAGCCGGATGACTTCAGCTGCTTCATCTGGTTCAACCTATGGAAAAAACCAGATCCCCATCACTGTTCTTGTTCACTTGCTCTGTTAATTATAATTTCCTTTATCCAAGGATAGCATGTCTACCGGAGTTGTGGGAACGTGAAGAGGAATGGCAGGCACACTGCTCCTAACAATCACATATGCCAAATCCAGGTTCAGCTGTTCAGCACAATGGGTAATCTGCACTAGACATCCAGGTCGAGACAGAAGGACTTCACCTAAGCTCTTCACTATGTCTCTCCTAAGTACTGCAAAGGAGGCATCTTTCACTGCAAAAAAGAAGTCAGTGAAATAAACTGTTTGCCCAGACCATGGTGAACAAGAGGTATGGGAAGACTGATAGCAATTACCTTTTTTCCTTCCCCCATTAAGAAGGAATGTCATCTGTTTCACAAAGAACATAATGTTTCTCAATGGATTAAATTCCATCCCACCTTCAGGACACAGAGACAGCCCTAGCAGGTAAAAGAAAATCAGGGCTCCTATTAAGGCAAGCATCACCTTTGAAAGGACAGCAAGGCACAGGAAAGGAACACCACTCACTCCTCAAGGTGGAATGCATATCGCCAACTGCTTCCACCAGTCTACGAAAGATTTGCATTTCAGACTGTACGGACTGGGCCGAAGCATTGAAGTTCCGTAGTGCAACTGACAGGCTCATTGTTGCTTTGGTCAGAGTGACATGCTTTTGAGGATCAAGGGAGAGTGGGAGAAGCAAAGGATGACCAAGTATGTGAGCATCTGGCAACCTTCTCAATTCATGGATGAGGGTGAAATACTGAGTGAAGAACTGCCTCCAAGGAGACAGGAGGACAGGGATATCACAGCGTGAAAGCATCTCTTCTATTTGGTGTAGGAGGGTTGAGACAGATCCATGTGAAGGTGGCAAGGCCAAAGTCAAGTCAAACAGGGCCAAGCTTGTTTTCAGTTCGCTCGAGACTTTCAGACCTGGTAGAAGGATCCCTTATGCTCTATCAAACTATCTCAGTATCTCCTCCTTCATTTCTTAAATCTCAAAGCATTGAAAATCATTGCTGTCAAATGTCACTGTACCTGGTAAAAGTTCCTCTACTTCAGGCTGGATAGGGGGAGTTTCCTTCTGGAATGCATTCAGGAACTCTTCAACATTCAAATTCTGGAGAATAAGGATATTGACTGTATATAACTGGAATAAGAAACTGAAGGGTGCACAATGCATCTCATGCACACTTTCACTGCAACACACTTCTAGCACAAAATATCCCTTCCAATACAGGAAGGATAAATGGAGAAGCACTGTCAATACATTATTTTCCTAAAAATGAACTCACCTTGAGAAGCACCTTCTGTTTGGCTTCTTCCCAGAATTCATCAAAAGAGGTTTCATGACCCAGCCAAGTTTCTCCGAGACCACAAAGCTACAAAAACATGTCAAAACAATGGAATTTAGTCAAGAAGGCAGTCTTCTGAGGGACCAGCATTAGAATAATTTATGTCTCTATGACAACACACTGCAATTATAGATGGTTGGGGTTTAGGTGAAAAGGAAGTTAGGATTTGTTTTTTTGTCATCTGTGAAACAAACAGCTAGGAAACTTTGGATTGAACTTCATGATCTTTGCAGAAAAAATGAATTTTATACTTTTTGTTGAAAAAAAATCAGGTATTCTAAAAGTATCCATCATGCTGAAGGATAAGCCTGGAATAATCTCCAGATTATATCAACTCTTTTCTCTTCCAAGTTTTTCCCATTCAGCTGTCAACAATGGAAGCCTGATAAGAGCCTGTGTATGACACCAGAAAAGGCAGATGTTCATCCTCAGGTTGCTGCCCATGATGATTCATCACATCCTATCCATTCCTTTAGAAGATCAACAAACCAATCAGAACGAGACAGAAGACTATCAAACTCTCATGAGGGAGTACTATGACTATTTGGCAAAGGCAGACGAAATCAGTGGGGGTCTCGCACGTGAGATGAGACCTGGCTGGAAAAATCTTGAGGAGGGAGAGCAATGCAGTCCATGGAAGCAATTCAAGGACCTCTCGAAGGTTCAACAGTTGATGATTATTTTCACCTCTCTTGCAGCCTTGATAACGTTGCTCTGGTGCTTCATCTGGTGTACTACTGGAAGGTTAGGAATTTGAATTCTATTCATTTAAAGCTTCTGCTCATCTGATTTCTCAACTATGCTGAGAAATCAGATGAGCTAAAACTTTATGAAGTGCAATTCATTTTGTCAATGTATAATCAGCACTGCAATAGGAAGTTACATTCAAATCCAATTAGACAGAG